CAACACAGGTCCCAACACCGATCCCCGAGGGTCACCACTTGTTACTGGTCTCAACTGGATGTTGAGCTGTTTACCACAGCTCTTTGCATGTGGCCATCCAGCCAGTTCTTTATCCACTGAGTGGTCTATCTATCAAACTGATGTCTCTCCAATCTTATATTTTAAGTCCTTCACAATGTATACAAACCCCTTCCAATTTCATAGGCATTCACAAAACCAGTGTTCCAGAGACTAAGCTTTTAAGAAGGTAGATTTGAAAAGGGAGAAGAAACCCAAGAGCAATTCCTCTTGTGGCTCATGACCAGCCAGGACCAACAATAAACTTTCAGCCTGCTCTTTGGATCAAGTAACTGAATGCATCTATGCCTCTCAGTTAGCTCAGCTCCCATCTGAGCTAACAGGAAATAGTGTGTATTTGGACAAACTTTATGAAGGTAGCACTAAGAAAATATTAGGCACAGGAGATGCAAGAATACGAGGTGCAATTCCCTTGCTATTTTTCCCAACCACAGGATAGTGCCAGAGGTCTGCACTGAAGTGATGACAAAGAGTATCTTCTTAAGACAGTAAATAAGAGGTAACCTGTTCCTCAGTATGGTTATATATAAGAAGGGCATGAAGATCACATGTGGTAGCAAGATACTTTCAAAGGCTAGAGAAATGCAATCATTCTATATACCTATACCTTGCTGAAACATGCAGAGTGACAAGTTTCATTATCATTGCCACACCATCAGGGTTCCTAACAGCCCAATTTAGAATAGGCAAAGTATGAATAACTCTGAAGTTAGAGATAATTAAGTAATAAATATGTTCCTGAGCAGCTAGTGATGACGACAATGAATTTGGTGAGATAATAGGGTGGTGAGATAACTGCCTAGACTGTCACATCTTGTGCTGTAATACCAGATGCCTGTCCGGCTAATTATTATTTTCCAGTTTTATTTAAATAGCACAATGAGAAAGGAACCACAATTTGGAGTCACTGCTCTAGGTGGCTGCAACAGCTGAGTAACATCCCTTTCTAATTTTTAAGCACTGTAATCTTGCATGACATGGCACATGAACGGAACATCCCAGATTTCTTGAGAGCTGAGCACACTCGTACACAAAGAACACCATGCTGGTTATGATATATGCTTTAAAACAATTACTTTCTGAAGCTCGAGGTAGTTCTATCTGCTTTGCTGCTTGCTTCAGCATGTAGGTCAAGTAAATATCTCGTTCAGAGACAATCGTTCGATGAAGATCAGGGAATTCTCCAATCATTTCTGCCATCATCTGCTCCAGTAAATCCTTCTGTTTGCATTTCTCCACATCATCTTTACTGAAAGAAAGGTAAGTTTTCTCAGTATCTGTTATGCTTTTGGAGCCCAACACAGACAAACCAATGAGTCAAAACAATTGGGTATTATACACATTATTCACTTAAACCCATTCTCTATACTTCTCCTCTAACCAGTTCTCCTCTCAGAAAACAAAACAGTCTCCATAAACTTGTAGAACTGGATACCTAACAGTGCCTCTACAGTGATGGAAAGGGAGAGGTCACTTGCCTCTAGGTAGTTCAACTGGATTTTCACCCTTCCCAATTTAAAAGCTGACAACTCAACTGAGCAAAGCACTAGGGCTTCAAAGGAAACTGTTATCATCCTGCCCCACTTTCAGTGTACATTACTAAGCTTAGAAGAGCCAACATAAAGCCCCCTGGAGGAAGCAGATCTCATCATTGAATGCACAGAAGCTCTATTTAAGGAACAAAAAAACCCACAGCCTAAGGCACAGTCTGAGAGGATCCAGAGTTCTGCAGGTTCCTAGTGTCAATCACAAGTCTTCAGCAGCTAAATCAAAGTTGTAAATCAATTCCCTGAACAGAACAGGAAATGGGAAAAAATTAAATAAAAGCTGCAAGAATAAATGTAATGAGCTTTTGCATTTTTTATAGGTGCTGTTAAACTTCTGTTTGCACCCACAGCTGCAGTACAGTCATAGTTTGTGGCAACAGAATCATCTGTTTTCGTATCTCTTGTCTATTGAAGAATGATGCCAAATGTGCTTTCTTTAGTTTCCAAGATCAAAAGAACACTACAAATGTCAACAGAGCAACCAAAAACAACTGATGTTGAATTATTACTCCATTTTCCATAGAATCTCATGTTGATGGCTGGATGCACCATACCTCCCCCCAGTAACTTCCCAATTACAACCACTTCTCCTTTTCAACCCCTACCCACATGTTATTTGTAAAAATCAACATAGCAGATCAATCAATTGTATGACAACAACCAAAATTGTGGCCAAACTTCAGTGGGAAGCTAGTGTGCATATATTGTAATTATCTTAATATTGCAGTTGAAAACCAAAATGTTCTTAGGATGGATAAAAGCATGGGAGAAGCTGCAGAGAAATATACCCTTCAATGCCCCCCAAAAGCCTGCAAACAGTTTCATGCTGGTATTAGACTAGCAAAAAAAACTTACTTTGCGCATGAACTGTAGTTACGGCTTGAAAGAGAGTCAAACTCATTCTACAGATTAATGTAACAGCAAATATTTACAGGAAATGACAATTAAGTGCAGGAAAACAGAAGGTTTGATACAACTACAGCTTGAGCCCTGGCCCAATTTTAAAAGCCTGTAAAAAATTGCCATAGATCACTCCCTGAGCAGAGCAAAGTTAAAGTCAGAGGGCATGACAGGGGCACTGAGATTCAGAGGATCCATTCCTGGCAAGCCTCCCATCACTGCAAGTCTGGTAGGAGCAGACTGAATTTAGGAAAAGAGCTGTGCATATGTTCTCACCCAGTTATCACACACCTGTTTGTGGAAAGAGGAAGCAAACTTGATGCAGGGATGTCTCTAAAGGGTACGGGAAACCAAACTAAGCAAGAGCAGAGCTGTCTGGGAAATATTACTGTAAGGCAAAAGTTCCTAACAATATGCCTTTGTAAAGGCAATAATCATTAAAAGTCCACATGTTGTCCACAAATTTAAACGCTTTCTCTTGTTCTGAACATATGCTCAGACAGCAGATTCAGTTCTCAAGCTGCCCTGATACACGTGAATTAGCACAACAGGCCCAAGTCCTTTGAAAATCTTAAGCAGGTATAAATCAGCATTCCAAGGCCCTGCTCTCTTCTATTTACAATATTTACACACAGTGTGGGAAAGATTATTGTCAGAACAGAAATCAAGAAAAGTTTAAACAAGTTTTTTCTTAAGCACACTACGAATTCTCCAGCACCGAATCTTTCACTTCAGCTGGCAGTAATGTATCAAAAAGCAATTAAAGAAAGAGCTGGAACAGGACCAGAAAGCCAACTTTCTTTTCAGAAAATATAGGTTATTGCAGAGTAGTTTGTATATTTATCCTTCTCATTAACTTCAAGTTTCACTGCAGCAGGCTGAGTACCAAAGGCTTCCAGCTTGTACTGAAGAACTGAACTATTCACCCCAAAAAACATATAGGATGCTTATTAATACCTGATTGGGTCAGATAAGAAGCAAAGGCCCCAGGCAAGCTTGACTTTTTGCCAGAAAGAAAGTGCAGCGATTGCTCTCTTAAATGTAACAGGGATGGGTCGGTCTCCAAGATGGAATTTACAGAAAGGTACTTTACTGGCCTAAAAAAGAAGATACAAATTAAGAGAATGTTTGTTTTATTGCTTTACACAAGGTAACTTAAAATAAATGCCAAGTAGTGTCATACTTCAACATCTAAAACATGTTCTGGTTTTGCAGTAATAAAGTTTCCAAAATACTGCTTCATAGCTACAAGATGCAGTAGGTATTACAGTAACAACATTAAGCTGTAATGCCACCTTCTTTAGGTTACTTTCACCTAAGAATAAAGCTTCTGCTTATGACCAAAGCTAAACAGAGGGAGTTCAGTATATATCTGGGTCTGAATAAAGTCTAAGGTGAACCAACTGTGGACATTTTCCTTTTACCTAGGATTTGTCAGTATAACTAACCTATCGCTTTCTCATGGCAAAAGAGGTTCAAGAAAGAGCTTATGAAACAAGAACTGATGTCAGATAGCACGCAACAACATGAGGTGAGACTTCACTGCAGCTCTAACTGACGAATTTTAGCACAGTACAGAATTTATAGAAAGTTCAACCCTATGCATACTTGTTTAAAAATACCAAACAAGCACTTCAGAACAGGACAGAGCTAATACAGATATATTTTTTTCTTTCCCACTTAAAATGAGAAACACTTGAAATGTTTCACTCTGGCCTGGAATGCTCAGGAAATTAAGCCTTGAAACAGTTCTCTATTAGAGATAAACCAACCAAATAATTTCAGTTTCAGTTTCTTTAACAACTATGTTATCTCAGATTTCCTTACAGTATGTAAATTAAAAATAGAGCAATCCATTCTGCAAGGTGGATACATAGAGGGGAAAATAGTGTCTCAGGATTCCCAGACCAACAAAAAAAAAACCAACCACCAACCAGAGTAGCTGTGATACACAGCGTAAGTCCAGCTACTATTTACTTCCCAGTATCAGAGCTGGCAGTAGCATAAAAGGGAATGTTAAAAGACCAGATGTGACCAGCTGACAAGTCAAATATTTCACTTCCCCAAACGATCTTTCTACATGAATGTGTTAGATTGCATTAGTGCTTTAGAGTTGGTTTGCACAACCTGAAACCCTGACACCACCAACAGTAGGATCAGGATCCATATCCAGAATTCAAAACCAATTATTTAACAGGAACAAAATCAATAAATTATTAATGAAATGGAAACAAATGCCACCAAATATCATCGGGAAAAAACTATTATCACTTGAAGCCTTCATGGAGTTTCTTTCATGCCACTTAGGGCTACAAATATCTATACTTTCGAGTACACTTTGAAGCTGAAGCTGATTCTTACACCGTCATAGGCTTCCACACTATGCTCCTTTCCAGTCACTAACAAATGGTTTTATTTAGTTCAACTCTGGGAACAAAAGGCCAATACCTTGACCTCAGAAAAACCATTTCAAGTTCGCACCTCTTTGAAAGCCTCTCTGAATTCTCCTCCTGGGGCCATTCCCAGCTGTTCTGTGATGTGAGCTGAGACCTTCAAAAGCAGCATTTGCATCAATCCAGACATGACTCCATTCTGGTGGAAGAGGAAGAAAAACATTATTAAAAGTTAAAAAAAAGAAACTAACTGTGTGGATTTCTAAGAAGAATACACTGCTCACAGTCATGAAAAAAACACATTAATTATCTTAGTGAAGAAGCGGCACTGAAACTGTCTTTTGGAGTCAATTCACTGATCAGTACGCAGCTCTTATTTCAATTTGTATCAGTTGTGAAGTAGCTTTTCACTTCAGTGTGGCCAAAGTAGGCTCACTTTGAACAAAACTGCATGGCAGAGTTAAGAAAAGAAAGGAGGGCAGGCAGGCTTCCTTCAGCCTATAGTTTCTTCACCTGCCTGTAGAAAGTGTCTGGATAACCAAATGGTAAAACAGCCCATACTGTGCATTTAATTGTTCTTGATCTACCTGGTTATAAAAAACCCCAAAACACATGAGTATATTCCACTGGCTGTACAGTGAATACCATCTTCTAGAGATACTGAAAAGGAAATAGCTAATGGTCTAATCATGAACGCTTCCACAACTGGTAAAAACTAGGCTGAGGACCAGTTAACTGATGCAGAAACAGAATCTAGCATTGTGCAAGAAACCACAGAGCATGGCTTCAGCACATAACACCTTTGCAAAGACCTCATAGTCCCGAGTGACTCACTCCCACAAGCAGACTGAAGGCCCCTCCTTGCACAGTCTATTACTTTCTGAACAGAGATCTAAAATAAGGATTCTTCTTTCTAAAAAGAAAAAAAAAAAATCTCAAATACACTTATGCAAAATTTCCCTTCCTTATCCTTTTACAAAAATAATCTCAAATCCATTCAGAGCTGTTCCTTCTGTCCAGCTCTGGCTGTAAAAATAACCAGTTGTTTTTACAACTACGACTCAGTGGGTGAGTGTTACCTGTCCCAAAGTGAAACCTGTACCATGGTAATGTATCTTCTCCAATTTGGCATCAGCCCATGCCACTGCCAGAAGAGGCATTTCCTCTTCCTTCACCAAAGGCTCATTTCCTGCTGCATGACAAGCTTCACATAACCAAAGATGAGGTTACACAGGATAGCCTGAATTAATACAACTGCTTGAGAAGCTACTAGAGGAAGGTCCTGGTCTCCACTCATTGCACCTAGGGCCATGCTCAAATGACCCACCCTGTGCTACATCTGATGCTTGTGTCACCTCTCCAAAGGCTGTAGGCAGTTACTACAGTTAAGTGGACTCAAAAGCCTCTGAGGACCAGAGCTGGCAAAAGAGGGCCTATTTTCAAAGCCAACTGATTATCTGTTTTGTCATGTTACAAACTAGCAAGCATGGCAGAAAGACAGGACACTGGTATCCTGGGGAGAGATGAGAAAGAAAGAGCGGGGGGGGGAAAAAAAAAAAAAAAGTTTTCAGCATCCTTGAGATGCAGTTCCAAAGCCTGGGGGACAAGAGTTTCCAAAAGTTCAGAAAAGACGCCCACAAAGAAAACTGGGATAATGCAGCCTGAGGTTATTTGCTGGCTGCTCTCCCCTTCAGGATTGATGTATTTGAAGTTTCATTTCTACACAGTCACAGAAAGATTCATGCTGCCAGCTAACAGAGGAACGCCTCTTTGAAGTGTGTCCCAGCCATCTGTGCTCAACCTGCATGGATCTCAGTGCCTGCTGTATTTGTTCAGCATCAAAGAGATAAAAGGCGACAAGCAGCCTATGTAGCAACCAGCAACAAATGGCCAGCCAGATACTATCAGGTGACAAAGAGCAAAATGTACAAAAAACAACGGGAGAAAGACAATAAACAAGGTTATTACTGATATCATATTATTCCAAGTCAGATAAAGGAAAGATGATCACAGAAGAACATTAAATCTGAGTGGCTGGCAATAATTTCACAGGTTGGATGCAACAGCCATAAACCAAAGCAATGCACAAGTAAGAAAAAACTTGACTGCACAGGCAGAGGGATGCAAAGCTATTAGCACACAGAAGAGAGAATGTGAAATACCAGTTTTACCAGCCCAATGTTCAAAAGCAGTCAGAAAGCAAGAACAGAAAGAGGGATTACCAGGAAAGGAACAAAATAAAAATACCAGTATCAATGGGCTGCTGTACAATCTTTAGTGAACAGCTGTTTCAAAAACAAGACACTTGAACCAGAAAATGTGTGAAGAAATACCAAACATACGAAAAGAGATTAAACATATTAAGTACTTTTGAGGCTTGGGAAAGGATGTCTGAGGAAGACACAATCTATCAGACAGCACGAGTAGCATGGAGATAGTGAAAAGGACAGGAAAAGAGAGGAATACCCAGGCAAAGTACGAATGCAGAGTCTAATGCCTTTCCCCAGGCATCTGTTATTGGCAGCTGCCAGAGGGCTTCTGAAGCAGACTCAGCACAGAAATGCTTATACTACATATGGGAACACAGCCAAAGGAGGGAGCCTTGGGGCTACTCTGCAACTGTATCACAAGTCACAGATCCAGCACTAACTGCACAACTGTGGGCAGAAACAAACCGTTTGTATTTTAGTCCTCTGGATTTCTTCTTTTAAAAGCCCTAATTCCCCGGGGACACAGCCCTGTGCAAACACAGCCTCACCACCTGGAGCCTAGAACTGGTTTTCTACTGCTTCAAGTGCACTGGAGGTTTGATTTTAAAGTGCAAATGAAGGTGACAAGTGACAGCAGCCTGCTCCTGTCCACATGGATGTACCAGTCTAGAACTGATTCACATTATATCTATCTTATTTAATAAGACAAAAGTGTAGGTTTTCTTAAACATGGAGGGCTCTATTACACTGTGCAAAATGAGACCTTTTTAACTAGCCAGAAGTATTTTTAAAAAGTTACATACAATATAACAATATATTCCTGCACAGGTAACTTCAGCCTTAAAAGTGTAGGTTATAAAAGTGAGGCTGAGCTAAGATTTTATTGCCACCAGCCCACTTTCTCTTCTGCCCCAGAACAGAGTTTCTCAACTCCTCTTGTGTCAGGACTGGCAATCGCACAGCCGCAGAGGGACATGATGCAGCTAAAATGCAAGCCCTGTTCAGACTAACCTGAGGCTGTGACATGGTCACTGAAGGGACAGTGGAAACAGCAAGATAGGGGAGAAGATAAGACAAACCTGTCTTACCAGTTTCATTTAAGCCAATTGGTACTGTGCATCTCCAGGTAATCCGCATTTGAGCCAGATACCAGCCTGCACTGTGTTGCTTTTCTTAATGGAAAGCAAACAGGTAGTTCTCTGCAAACAACTGTAAGAGTTTTGAAATTTAAGGAGGGTCTGGAGGAAGAAAGCTGTTTTTAACCTGCGACAGTTGCTTGGTAAGCTGTGAATACCAGTGACCCATTGTGAGTGTGTAATAGTTTCATGTTAACACTCTGCTCAGTTTCCAACTTCAATTAAGACCAATTAAATACAATTTTAATGCTTAAGATTTATACAAGTGATTATAAAGAGACACAGTTTTCCTCATTTGAAACTCAAGGATGAAAGTTGTAAGCAGTTTAACCTTTTGGTGTAGCTTTTAGGCCTGAACACGCATTTCAATGAGAAGAAAACTGAAGAGTCAGCAAGCAACCTACCAGCTGGTTTGATTTTACTAGACACTATCATTTAATATGAGACAGTTGGACTGTTTTTCCTGGTTCTCCCCATATAACCCATGCTGCTACCGAATCAATGGGGGAAGGTTGGGTTGAGACTATAGATGGAGAAATATATTATTTAGAAGGTGCAATGACCAAATTTTATTATTTGCATTATACATGGTAACAAAGGTTAAGATTAAGCTGTAACAATAGGAAGGATCTTCGTGTTATTCTCTGGCTTTGAACCAGTCTGTTTCTTACAGTCTGTACACAAGATCACTTCAAGCTCTAGTAGGAACTGATAATTACAAAGCTGCCAACACAAACTTACACCACAGAGAAAAACGTCTGCTGTCTTATTTTCATTGTCCTATTGCTTTTAACAGAGAAGTACAGCAAAAACTGTTGCATGTAGCTTGGATATTAAAAAAAGGCTTCTGTGCCTGTTTGCGAGGTCAGAAGACACCCAGCTATGCTTCTCTGGTTGTTGTGAGCATGCGTTCTTTTGGCTACATGCATCGGAACAATTCACTTCACCTAAAATAAACAGATAGATGTAGTAATTCATGCAATGTGCAAGTGTTTTGCAATGTCCTTTCCTTTGATAGGACATAAAGAAAACAGGAAAGACACGTTAATGCCTGTGAGTCAGAAATCCCACACTAAGACGCTATACACACAGTAGACTAGCCCCCAGCCACTAAGAGTGCTTCTGCATGTATGCAGATGACATTCTTATAAGGGGTGCAATCCTACAAATTCCCCAATTACATCAATAAAATAATTCCAATATATAATTATCAAGCAAAAAAAACAATCTATGAATCTTCATTCAGCTAGACACTGGAAACTCTCTTTACTATTGACCACATGCTGACATTCTAATCAATGTCCTGTCATTTTTAAGTCAACTTTATGCGGTTTCACTGTGCCTACTTAAAATTACTTAAATACAGGCTAACTGGGTGAAACTGAAAAAATGCAGGACAACGCCTGTTTTACACATACATTCCAGATGGCACCAAACTGCCATAGTAGTTATAATTTGAACAGAATCCCACTTTCCAGCCCAGATTTTTCAGAAACCTCCCTCAAGGGCTACTATCAATTAGAAACTACTCAAGAGAGAAGTGGATGAGAATTAAAAAGAGCAACACACTAGGATGACAAAGGAAAGCAGCTAAACAGATTGCAACAGACAACACTAAAATTAAGTGGTCCCTAAACAGCTGTGATACAGATGGAGATTGCAGGAATAATAACTATATTTAATGTATTAGCAGAGCACTACAATTATGAAGTTAGACTTGCATCCTGCAAATGAAGCAACTGTTAAACCCAGGAGGATTCAAAAAAAAAGCCCGAACCACCACAGACACCCACGATATTCCTGATGAAGAGAAAAAAAATACTAAACCTAACTTTGCCACTGCAATGGCACTGTCACTTTAGGGCAACAGCATTAGGTTCCCAGCTAATGGTAACACCAGTTTTGGCTGCAGATTGACAAATTGCTCTTAACACAAACCTTTAATTCTCCCTATGGGACTCATACCTGCTTTATTGCTTGTTGAAGTTTTTCCAGATTTATTTCTTTGGCTTCTTTCAGTAATGTTTTCTCATCCATCTTTAACATAGAAACTCTGTACTGGCATAGTTCCACCACAACTACATCAGGCTGCACATCTTGTATTGTCTGAAAAAAGATGAATTTATTTACATCAGTTTAGAAAGGATTAATGAGAAATACAGCCAATACCAACACTTCTATGAGAAAAGGGACTTAAAAAGCACATTCCAGCAGTCATTTTCAATTAAAAGAACAGCTAAAGAGTAAATATGTATTGAGAAACACATTAAGGAGGATGACAGTGAAATGCTTTATATACTGGATGCTTTGGGACAGGGAGGTGGAGAACACATTATGCAGGGGAGGAGGGAAGAAAAGCTTGATATTAAACTTTTTACATTCACAAAGTTCCTTTGACCATACTCTGCAATTATTTGCAACCTGAGTTAGAATAAGCTTTGTAAGAACTAGGGTTAATGATTCTGGCCCAAGATTCCCCCCCCTCTAGCTTCTGGAAAACAAAGCCACTCTAAACTGCAGACTTTGCATGAGGTACAGCACGAAATAGTTCCTAATCTCACTAGAGCTTTGGAAGTATTTGCATCTTGAGAATGCAATCCAAATTTGGGATGGAATGGTTTTACAGCTTAATATTACACATCCCAAGCTGAGAGAAGATGTAAACTGCAGCTTCTGTGCTAGGTTTTGCATTTTCTCAGCACGTCCCCATCACAGCAAGTATGCAGCAACCATAGTGTACACTGTCAGTGTGACGTGATGCTGTTATTGTGACAGGCAACGTAAATTCCCTAGCAAGACTTCTACTTGTAAGACTGGCACTGTATCTGCATTACCTGTTTAAGGACAAATAAAAATAGTTGAGATGGGAGAGCAATGTATTGCATCAAAAAATTATTAAGATAATGTCTGCCTCACAGCTCATCCCACAGCGCTGCTAGCCCTCCAACAGCTAATGAGAAAGAAGAGGGTCCAGAGGTTACAGCACAGAACCAAGTCAGAGAGCTGGACTGCCTTCTACCTAATGCTAAGTTGAGAACATTATAAACATCCCGTCAAAAGACTCCCACCTAGTATTTACCTTTACTACATCCTTTTTGCTGCTGTCACTGAAGTGGGCTGTTCCAACCACATACACTTTAGAACCATCCTCGGTGTCAAGCTCAGTCACAGTGCTTGGTAAAGTAGGCTTTTTCTGCCTCTTCTTTATCTTCATCTCCAGGAGAATTTTAAATGCATCTGCATCAGCTATAAATGTAAAGAAAAACAGAAAAGAAAAGCACATTGACTATAAAGTGCAGGTAAATAAAACAGAAAATAAAAATGTCACCACTAAACAGCAGAGCAGAGCTAAAAGGCCATTGATTTACCACTGTAATCTTACATTCAATTCTGAGGCTACATCATTGAGAGTGCCACCACTGGAGAGGCTGCCTCCAAGCATGGGTCTCAGTCCAGGTTTCCTACCCTGTGGACACTGGGACAGGTTGTCCACGCGGTTCAGTAAGGGAAAGA